CTCATTTTAACAGAGATGGACAAGGCACGACGTTTTTAGTCTCAGGCAAGTCTCAGTTACACATATCAAGATTTAGCGCTTTTTTCCAGGGGAGTTGGCAATACGACACCTGCGAAATCTTGTTCGCCATGGTCGATTTAGTTGTACGACATATTTATTTCAAAAGGGTCACTTCGATTTTTGGAGAAAAAATATTTTAAAAATAACAAAAAGATTCATGTCCGATTCGAACCGAAGACGAAAAATTTCACTTCGTAGCATTTAACCACTGTGCTACGGATTCATACTGATTCTTTCCTGTTATATCAAGTATAAGTGAAGGGAAGCAGAACGAGATATTTTTCGATTATGAACGGTTCCAACAGAGAGTTGCCAAAGGAGTTTCATAGAGATTTTGTAGAGCATTGTCAGTTACATATATGACAGGATTGATCTCAAGAGAGTCATTCCGTTTTCTGTAGAGTCTCTTTGAAAATTATTAGACTTACGATCAGAATAAACAGCTGAATAGTCAAATAGTGGATTTTTATGTTCCTGTGTGAAAGTGTTCTGAGTCTCTGTTTTTGTGCGTATGTGTCTTTTAGAAATGTTCTTTATTGACATACAAACTTATTTACTTCAATATTAGTGCATTTTTTGCACTTTTAGACTGTTGTCTGATAATTAGAAATTTACATTTAAATTAATACATTAATAATTTTAATGTAATTCTTATCGCTTTCTCTCGCTTGTTGCGTGTGATGAATAAACAGTCTTTTGTTGATTCAATGCACTTCAGATGCACGCGATATTTGCACTCTTCAGTTGTTTATTCTGATCGTAAGTATAATAATTTTCAAAGAGACTCTACAGAAAACGGAATGACTCTCTTGAGATAAACACTGTGATATATGTAACTGACAATGCTCTACAAAATCTCTATGAAACTCCTTTGGCAACTCTCTAGTGAAAACGTTCATGATTGAAAAATATCTCGTTCTGCTTCCCTTCACTTATACTTGATATAACAGGAAAGAATCAGTATGAATCCGTAGCACAGTGGTTAAGTGCAACGAAGTGAAATTTGATTTGAAATTGTTCTGATCAGTTCTTCTGACGTCATTAGATCCTTTTCTAATCCTTTCTCGGATTTTCGGTGATATGTATATACGGCTGTATTTTTGCGAATGTAATACATCGTAATTTGTTACTGAATAAACTGAACAAGTTAGAGAACTAATCAAGATAGTTTTACTACATAACAATATGTCGTACCACTAAATCGACCATCGCGAACAAGATTTCGCAGATTTCGTGTTGCCAAACCCCTGTGGAAAAAAAACGCCAAATCTTGATATGATTGCCAGTTTCAGACAATTCTCAGTCATACTTAGAGTTGCCCATATTTCTTTCTTTTTTGGCGGCGTATAATCACGAGATCCCTGCTCGTCGACTCACAACAGAATATTTTCGATCAGTTTTTTCCATAAAACGATTAAATCCTTCTCTCTCTACCATTGATAGTGGCAAACCCATATCGATAATAAGATTTTTTACAGTTACATCTGTATTTTCTAACTGACGAGAGTGAAACGAACCGTACACTGGCTTTGAACTTAAAGATACTAGAGTGAGAAAAAGGCCAAAGAATCTTAGAAAAGAATTCCTTAAGAAAGAAATTAAACGAGGAGGGTTACGTTGTCACGACATTTGGAGAAACAAACAAATTAAACTATGTGTGAGAGATGTGATGATCACATTTTGATCTCTCACGTGTTTCGTACATAGATAGCGTTTCACATTTTTCTTTATTTCTTTATTTTTTCTTTATTCACTCAGTATAGTTATTCACTTTTTGCCACTGTATCTTCTTTTTGATAACATCTAGACTTTTCTTGTCGTTTTACCTCCATTTATCATTCTGCTTACTTTTTTTTGTTTTTTCGCTCACTTTGTATTAAAATAAAATCAGTCATATTTTCAAACAATCAGTCCCGGTATAGAAAATCGTCAGTGTCAATCAGGTCTCAGTTATGACTTAGATTTGCCCATCTCTGCATTTTAATTACAAATTTATCTTTAAAGGTCATAATCCCGAATCCTTTTAGGGTATTTACTACCACACTATGGTTTATCGATCACTGTATAAATCATTGTAATCGGTCAGGAGCACTTCCATAGATTTCCTCGTCAGTGAGAGTCACAATGAGTAAAGTTAAGCGCACTTTTGAGAGAAAGCAATTGATTTTGGTCGAAGAGTGCAAAAAAGATTAGTTAGACAACGTTAGCCAATATTTAGATCATGAGAAAGTTTCGACAATATATACCCCGGCACACTCGGAAATGGGGTAAAAATCCAGCAAAAACGGTTCTAGTCAGAATATATAACTTTCATCTACCTTTGGAAGCTGCTGATAAAACAGTACACAACGGATTGCATTCTGCTGCAACCACCACGACGCTTTTCGACCGACGCTTAACGGTCTCATTAGGTGGTGCTAATAGTCTTCGGTTGAGATGTTTAAAACTCGAAGGTATTACTTTCTGCTCGGATGAATATGATCTGGACTGGAAAAGTCAGTCAGTACTTTTAAGTAATATTTGAGCAAATCAGCCATAACTGAGGAATAAAATTAATCAGTTAACTAGCGAAAACATACACTTTTAGATATATTCTCATTTTACTGATAATGTCAGAAAGTTTAAAATTTAGTATCTGAATGTGTGAAAAAGTTTGAAACTTTAATTCCGATTTCATTCGACAGCTTGCAAGAAACTACCCACTGGAAAAAATAATCAAAATTCATTCAGAATCCAGCAAGACTTTGCACAGGATTCTCGTAGATTGTCGGTATTAAAATATCTGACGATGTTTCTTACCTTTACGCAAATTTTTTTTATTTGCCAGCCATGACCATATCCGGCATAGTTTATGTAGGATTAATGTGGAAAAAATCCTGCGTAATGGTAAGAAACATTGCAAGACTTTTTAACTTATTCAATCCGAGAGTTTTTCTTGTGAGATCTGGCAGGATTTTGTTTGTTGAAAGAAAAAGGATTTTGTCTCCCATGTCTATTCTGCAATCTTTTCTCACCGATGTCTGTCCTGGATCACCGTGGAGGAACTTGTTCGTATCTTTTTACTTAAAAAGGTTAAAAGGAAAGTTAAGTATTTCTGCATCTTTTTCTTGTAAAGTTATAAAAGCCTTTCTCGTATCCAATAAACTTCTCGAAATTGGATACTTTAATATTTTGGCTTTGTTTTCATGTGTACAAAACCAAACTATTAATAGATAGCTGAAAAGATTCCAGGATGCTGCACGGGAGATAAAATCCTGCCAGATCTCATAGGGAAATACTTGCTGACTGCCCTGTAATAATGCTTCCTGGAAGACACCGTTTCTTTTCTCCAGGATAAAATCTTACAGACCTTGCAAGGTTTGCATAGTAAGATATCTTGCCTATTACAAGTGATAACAGGGAGGAAAAAATTCAGCAGGGTATGAATGAGCAAAGTGAAGAATATGCGAGATGTATCCGAGGAACGCATGTCAAAGCTTCTGTATGGTGCGCGTAGAAAAGAATTCTACGGGATCCTGAGGAAAGAAATTTAAAAAGTGAGCGTATTAAAGAATCCTGCACAACTATACTCACCAACTTGCAGAAAAAGTTTCGGCAAGGTAATGTGATGTGAAAGCCTGCAGCATATATCCAACATTCATCGGACTTTTTGAAATTCCTACGTTAACATGCAGGAGTTTGTAAATTTTTTTCAGTGGGTATACAAGAAAAGTCTTTTTCGTCCCTTCAATCACTTTCTCAATTTCACATCAGCAAGTCGCATCCGCCGCTAAAAAATTTTAGATCTAAGAATTAAGATTCAAAAAAAAGGCAATATTTTCCTATATTTCAGTAAGTAAGTGACAGTCCATTACATTATATTTTACTCGGACTTTTCTTCGAGAACATGATGTAATCAACTTTTGACTTTTCCTCGTTCATACGGGCTCTCGCCATACTGCTTCATACTCATTATGCATTAAACATTTCACCTATTTGCAGCATGTTTCCGAAAAAAAACCGGGTAAAACATCGTGCAACAACTAGATAATTCAGTTCTTCACAGAGTTATTACTTTAATTTATTTTATTCATGAAAAGCGAGAGTCATCCATCAAAGGTCCGCGTCACTTTATCCTCTTGTCGGTCAAATCAAAAGATATGAAGTTAAAACCCTTACAGAACATCTAAATGATTACAAGGCAGTGAAAAACCGTAGGTCTCTCCCACTGAAGTAAAAATTTTCAGAAAATAGCCATCCTTGAAGGCGATGTCATTTTTGTACAGTGAACTTTTTAAAAGAAATTGTAGTGCGGCGGTTCTCGTTTCTTCTGTTCTTGTTGTGCATATGATTTTGCCAATACTGATCCGGGATATTCTGATTTTGGCAAGCGTTCCATTACGCTTGTGCTAATGTTAGCACTACTGTTGCTAAGCCATGTCAAAACACTGCTTGGGCTCCTAAAATCATTTGTAGCATTTCGATCGTTAAATGAAATGAGTGATGGAGAGACTAAGGTTGTACGAGTCAGATTGGACAACACAGACGATGTTCCAGGCTGTTTTGAAAGCTTTTGATTTATGGGTGTGTCGATGGATGTTCGTCTTTGCAGATTACAATCGTTAATATACTGCAATCGATATTGCTGTTGATATTCGTCTTCCTCCTCTTGTTTTCGACGCTTTTTTCGCTTACTGTAAATAAGAGAAACAAAAGTGAATGGGGATGGTTCTGCGAAGCAGCGTTTTTGTTCTAGGAATCTTACCAAAATAAAATCAGCCAGCGAAGACAGCAGCAACACAGGAGTAAGCATAGTAAACTCAGTGGCACTGCTAAACTTAAAATCAATCCAAGATTGTTATTATTGCTGCTAGTGGCAGCAGTCGTTCCTACAGTTGTGGAGGCTGTTCTACACAATGATAAATTCTATATTACAGTGGAATAACCAGGTGTGATATGATTCAAGGACGAATACACTTACGTGCTTGTAGTGACTGTAGAAGTTGTCGACGACGATGTGCTGCTTGTGCTTGTAGAAGTTGTCGACGATGATGTGCTGGTTGTGCTTGTAGTGGCTGTAGAAGTTGTCGACGATGTTGTGCTGCTTGTGCTTGTAGTGACTGTAGAAGTTGTCGACGATGTTGTGCTGCTTGTGCTTGTAGTGACTGTAGAAGTTGTCGACGATGATGTGCTGGCTGTGCTTGTAGTGGCTGTAGAAGTTGTCGACGATGATGTGCTGCTTGTGCTTCTACACAAACACATAGAAATCAAAGTCAGACGCTCTCCAGTCAAATGACAGAGAAACTAATTACGTGAATGATGTAGAAGTGTGTTCCTCATCGCCAAACAAACTGGCCAAGCGAATTATTTGTACCAGTCTATTACTATGAAAACTGGAGTGTATACCCCAGCTATAGACAATGTTCTATTCCAGAACGGAGAACCTCTCTACTGTTTATCTTTTCTCTGACTTTGTAGAGCCTCCGGTAATACAGAAGGGGAACTGACAACGATTAAGCCCTCCTAGAGGACGCCTTGTTGATCTTACTTTGGGATCTGGTTCCAAAACTAGAACCATTATACTACACTCTGGAGCTAAAGATACCAACTTTTGAGTGCCATCGTACGAGAAATTTGCATTTGTACTTGAGCCCGAAGTCGCTTGAGATCAAGTTCCGGCTTCGACGCCAACTCAAAAAACTGTTACAAACCAAGTATCACTGCATAAACTAACTTAATGACTATATTTAAATCGTAAACGGAGGGACATGGCCAGCTTTTCACTTAGATCGTCCTTTCATTTTTTTCCAAAAAAGTGAAAGTTTTGAAAACTGGAATAAGTCATTTTGTTCAGAATTGGGCACTAATCATCGTCATATACTTTTTTCTCAAAATTGTACGGCCGATCTGATTGAAAACCCACTCAAGTTCTTTACTCCATTGTGGAACCACTTTTAAGGCTTTAAAACTGACTTGAATGCTATTTTTATTATGGGATGTTGAAACGTATATACTGGAAAAGGGTGACCGATTCGCATATGCTTCTGCTTAAAACATATACTAGTAAGGAACTTATGAGGAGAACTTCATGCCTATATTAACGGAAGATCAGTCCGTTTTCTCAAAGCTTACGTTGTACTAGAAGTTGTGATCGTATACGTCGTTCTGCTAGAAGTAGTTGTTGTTGTTGTTGTTGTGCTTGAAGAAATCGTTCTAGAAGACATAGTTAAACAAATACTCTAGACCGTTTATTTCAACATCAACAGCATAGAATACGTAGCAGTCGACAATGTGGTTGATGTTCCATTTATACACGTGCCAAGAGTGCTCAAGGCCACGCCGAAAGTGATGCAGTATTGAGTTGATTGTACGTTAAAACTTTAATATATAGATAAAAGAATCAAATCTTATAGAGTAAAAAAAGTCAAAGTTCTACCTGTCTACCGCTAAAGCACAAAGAATTTGAATGCCAACTTGAGGCGATGTCGGTGTCCAACTGACGATCGATGAGTACAACGAATTATTTGTTGTCTCCTGTATAAGACTACCCTGTGTTGCACCAAAGAATGTCGTTTGGATAATAATCGAAGATATTGAGACACTGGTGCCACCATAGTTTGTGGCAAATAGTGTAGTAGTAAACGGTATGCCAACATCTACATCGACATACGATTGATTACTCGTAAGTGTAGGTAATGAATAGGAAGGAGTAGCATAAACTCTGATTAAAAACTGAACAGGGACGGAACTCAGTGCCACTGTAGTCGTATTATCCTGAAAGTCCTCTACCTGTAACAACAGAAAAGCAATTTTGGACCTCTGTCTTGAGAACTGAAAATAGACTTACCTGAATAGCTGCTGCGTACCAATCGTTTATTACTAGACCAGTAATCGTCAGTGCACAATCCGTTGACAGAATAGTGCCCGGCGGTATGTATGTAGCGAAACAGACATCAGCACATTCCTCTGTACCCACGCTCCAACGACATCGCACATCCTGATCACTATCTACATCACCAACAGGTATCTGTATCTGTGTTGCAATACCCACTGGGATCGCCACTGGAGTTACAATCATTGCTACGGGCGGTGTATTAATACGACCCTTATTTGTTAACCATTGCAAATCAATAACCATTGACAGAATCCACTGTGCACTAGTTGACGTTGAACTCAAACCATTCAGCAGGCGATAGAAACTGCCTGTATTTGATTTGAATGAAGCAGTAAATAAATCGTTTGAATTTAAATTCACTGTATCGGTACGTTGTGAATAGGATAGACCGAGAACACTTGATTTCCCTGTACAGATACCGATAATCGATGGTGGAATGAAACCACTTGAAGTTACACCGCAGTTAGCTGTACAAGTCAATGTACTGTTGATATCGCCAGCGTATGGTGTGATTGAAGAACCAATGGTAGGACAGGCGACACGTGCTAACGTCCAGATATAGGTTTGTATCAGTGTTACTTCAATAGGAGATGTAGCATCGCATCCGTCGACGGGAACCCAGCGGATGGTACCACCATTAAAATGACTAGTGTTGCAGGATGATAAGAGTGTTGTTAGAAGAAGCAAATACTTTAGCATCGTACATGAAGATTTGTACAGAATGAAAAATGATTGTGTATGCATACAGAAAGCATAGAAATAGAAAAGAATATTATATTGTCATTCCAATTTTGTTTTTCAATCGAAATTTGATAAAGAAACTAATCATCTTTTGTGGGATTTCCTTTGTTTTTTTGTAGTAGCACCCGAGATGTCTCATTTTAACAGAGATGAATAAGGCACGATTGTAGCCCGCAGATTTCTGATTCAAATGAGACGTCTTCCAACTCTACACGATCTTTCTGTACAAAGTTATAGAACCTACAAATACCCTAAATGGTTGTCAGCTCAAAGCTACAGAAATAAGAAGAAATGAATTAGAGCTTTCTTGTAAATTCTATAACTTTGCAAAGAAAGGTTGTGTAGGGCTAAGAAAAGAGCAAAGAATTCCTTAAGAAAGAAATTAAACGAGGAGGGTTACGTTGTGAAGACAGTTTGAGAAACAAACAAATTAAACTATGTATGAGAGATGTGATGATCACATTGTGGAAAAGAATGTTATATTGTCATTTCAATTTTGTTTTCCAATCGAAATTTGATAAAGAAACTAATCATCTTTTGTGGGATTTCCTTTGTTTTTTTGTAGTAGCACCATAGATGTCTTATTTTGACATAGACGGACAAGTCACGACGTTTTCAGCCTCAGTCTCGAAAAAAAACCATTAGTCGTTATTTACTGTCGAAAGATAGAGAATTTTCTGGGCTTCAAAATGAACTACAATATTTTGTTTTAAAAGCTTGCCTGTATACATTTATTGACTAACTACTGGATAGATATCTCGATTTTTACTAATAGTGATACGAAAGCCATGCCGCGTCTTCCATATTACACCACTATACTTCGTTTACTGTCCTGTCATCAGTTAAACCTACTGTATCCGGTCGGCATTTTGATAATAAGTTACTTAATTTTTTAACTTAATGTTTGAAACAACGTACTATAGCTTGTTTAATAGCCCTTTCAATTCTGCATTTTTCTAAATACAAACGATTCCTAATTTCTATTTGTGAAAGAAATTGTGAGTATTTTTATGTATCACTAAGAGTAACAATCGAGATATCTATCCAATATTTAGCCAATAAGTGTATGAAGACAAACCTTTAAAACAAAATATTATAGCTCATCGTGCAGTGCCGAAAATTCTTTACCTTCTATATACAAAACATTTCAGGTCTGAGTAGAAGCCTCAAACAAGTATTCTTTTAAAGTATTAGAATAGGTGAAAATCATGACATCTGTTTGGTATTTTCACAATTGCTCTGTGTGGGCATATGTCTGAGAAACTTCGAGGCTGATGTTCGGGAAGCATCTTCTTCATAGTGAAAAAGCGGAAAAACCAATTCTTTAAAAGCTATTGTTCAGTTTTTCATTACAAAAGAAGTGTTTCTCAAACTTGAGTTTGGCAACACAAAACCTTAGAAATTTAACTCCTAAATTTTGTCTGCTAGGTTCAGCTTTGTACAACTCGATCTTCAAGGCAAAGACCCCAACAATTGTGTTATATATCTCTCGAAAACCGGCGTCTGTGTTATATCTTTGAGGATCCGGTTCTAGAAACCCGGCTTCACCAGAAAAACTTTAGGAAATTAAATTTCTAACATTTCACGTTCGACATTCAAGTAGGGCTGTGACAGTTACCATTACCGTTACAGTAACTGTAACTGTTGGTCGGTTACCGTTCCTGGTAACGGTAACGGATAAGCAGTTACCGTTACAACTAACGGTAACTGTCGAGCATGTGTTTAATGACGTCAGAACTGTATAAATTGTTACGGCTACTTCTACATGTATTGTAAAATGTTGATCAGTACTGACCACCAGATGTATATAAGTTTTTACGGCTATTTCTACAGTAGGGCTGTGACAGTTACCAGTTAGCGTTACCAAGAACGACAAGTGTTCAACAGTTACCGTTGCTGAGTAATGATAGTAACGGTAATTGGTAACTATCACAGCCCTACATTCAAGTCTAAGAAATGCGTTCGTCGTTGTGAGCTACTTATTGACACTTTCTAATGGAAGTGGCAACAGCTTCTGGACACTTTCAGAAAGTGGTAATAGCTGCTTATTGACATTTTCTTTTCAAATGACAATCATGCTTAAAACAGTTTTCATGAATATGTCAATTCTAACGGTACGCACTGGTGAGCATTTCTTCGCCTGTTCCTCCACTTGTATTGATCCTCCTTGAACTATGTTTGACGATTTTACTAGAACGTGCTGAGTGAACGGGTCGTCTTGTTGATAGGACATTTGGCTGTATTTTTCAAGTTTCTCGCTTCAGAAGTAACTTCAACCCATGAAACTGTTACAGAAGCATGCATCAAGCACGTGGTAAAAGTCTGGTTATTCAATTCCCTATACTTTAGCAGGGAGAAAGAATAAGTGGATGCGACCAATTGTGTGATGCAGTCTAGAGAGGTTATAATTACAAGGTAATCGAATTACTCACCAAAAGTGTAATAGATTTATGATAGTAAACTGTTTACACTATTAACCAGACCGATTATTTAAGAAGTAGTACTTTAGTCTAGTAATAAGTCTTAAGCGTGCTTAGGGTAGGCTACTGGAGCCATTGTGCGACTGAAAGTATCGTATCTGATTCACTGCAGTTATGTTCGGAGACTATGAATTTAAAATAATTAACATTTGTTAAAACGTAAGAAAAAACGTCGTTAAATTAGAGAACTGAAACGGACAATAATGCTCCATTGGCACCTCTTAGAAACGCCTCCTTCCTTCTCGAGTGATTTAAAGTTCTCTTTTAAGTATCGATTTAATGACCAGAATTCAACTAAATCTTTTACCACGGGACTTCCATCTTTGAATAATACAGAATTTTCCAGATAGCTCCACCATTTCTTACAAATATCTGTTTTTGAAATAGAATTCCATTGTTCATCATTTTCAACATCAACTGAACAAACTAGTAAATTTGTATTTGGTAACCAATTAACAACAAATCGTTTTACACCATGTTCTTTTAAGTTTTCAATTACTTCTGGCCATACGTTTTCGTGTGACTTTTTATATTCATCTACTTTCCCTTCTAATAATTCCATAACATAGGCTTTGCGAATATATTTTTGATCGGCAGCCATGTCCAAAACAATATGTAGAATTGTGAACTGTTGTGTTTGATAACAAATGGTTTTACTGTAAAAGGTAAGAAAACGTGTAAATACTTAGTACTAGCTGCAAGATGATCAAATATAATGTAATATTCTTCAATGTGCTCTTATCAAAAGTAAATAACACTTCAAGCTTAGTAATTTCGTTATACTTGTGCGAATTATAAGGTTTGGTTGACATATCTACTTGTTGCCACAATTGAAATAACATAATTTATGCCAAAACCCATGTTGTGAATAATTAATTGGTCATAAGTCGAAAATTTCTTCCATCTAGTAAGAACAATAGGCCGATATTAGACATTTTCATTTTTTATATTAAGACTTTTAAATTTCTGTATCGTAGAAGCTTGCAATGCTTCATCAGTATGATACAAAGTTGTTTTAGTTTTAGCGATATTGTCTTGTTCTTTATGTCTGGAACAATCAGACAAAAGTTGCTCTAATCGGTCAAGTATTTGAAAAAGTTGATTATGATTTAGTTTTGACAGGATTTAAAGGCTGTCAGATGCTGTCTTGTTTGAAATCATTATCTTTCAAAGTCAATGTTTGTTCGTCCTCATTAAATAGTTTCTTTTACTTTTCCAAGTGAAACTTCTGATATTATTAATTTTGCATTCGCACAACAACAGAATCTCCTTAGTTCTGTACACACAGTGGATATCATAGTAAACCCCTCCCAGAATAGAAGGCCATGGCCTTCTGTCATGGTTTCGCACATCGCACTTTTTTTGATGAAAAACTGCCCTACCTCTCTCTATAGGGCGTTTTCAAAAAATTTTGGCTCCAGACTGGCCTTCTGTTAAGGATGGCCGTCTATTTTGGGGGTGGGTGGTTAGATGAAGCTTGCCTTTTGGAAACTAGAGAAATCTTTTACTCGATTAATGTTTTAAGAGATGTATTTCTGTTATGCATTTCCTGCACGGGCCTAACTTTCGGGCTATGTCGATTAAGGTTTAATATTGTAAAAGGGCGTGTGAGTTAAGAATGGGCTCCTTAAATAAGAGAGATAGTTTGATTGAAATACACCTCATGTAAGTTTGAAAATGGTGAATAAGTGCAGAATTAGAATCAGCGTAGGAATTTTACAAGGAATAGAAGAAAGACGATTAAGCGATTAATCAGATCGAAAAAGAAAGAGCTACTAGAAACAGTGCATGAGAGCACCGCAATAAGCACTCCAGTTCATATAAAAAACTATTGAGCGAGACAATAAAGTTCCCGATAGCATATCTGGAAAGAGCACATTTTAATTTATCTCAAAACAAGCATGTTTCTCTCGAAACCCAATATACGAGTGATTTAGAAAAGCAGTTGCTGCCAGTTTTGCAGCCCGAAGTCTCCTCTACAACATGCAATTTGAAAAATCTGTGACATACTTTATTACTTTCAGAATTTCGAGTGATCGTCATATGCATCAAAAAAGCTTGTCTTTTTCAGTCACGCCCACAAAGATGTAATTTTTCACGAAAAAAGATAATCTTAACAAATATCCTCAGGATTCATTTTTTCGCGGCGTCGTTAGCAACTTGATACGCGTTTCTTGTATGAATAGCATCATTAGAAAATTTAACACTTTAGATATATAGTGACTCAAAGTTTAAAAGGTCGCATTCCACAACGCTGGTTTTCTCCATATATTCTCGGTGTATGACTTTAGACATTGGTGTGATGGACATAAGGGTAACATTACTGATCTACATGCAACATAGCACAAATGTTCAATGTAAATCAGTAATGTTATCCTTACGTCCATCATACCAATGTCTACATATGTAAGGATCTACACGTGTTAACTGAATGTAAGTTTTTCAGCTAGATCTCCAGGAGATCTCTAGAAAACCTTTTTTTGGCATAGTAGTTAAATGTCTCCGATTTTGCTAAAAATTTTTACAGTGGAGGCGTACTAGTAATAGAAACATTCTCTGGAATTCTTAAGAGCAAAGAAACTAGTTTCGAGTTGCTATTCGCTAATTACTTTCAGATTAATTAACTAATAAGCTAATTTGTTTTAGTTAATTATAGTTTTAAAGAACAAAGTCTTCTTCATATATTCAAATAAAAAGAGTTATCCCTCAAAATAAGAGTAGGGAGAAATTCAAGATGAACAAACAATAGTCATGTCCACTTTTGCTCATATTCGGACGATTATTTTTTTTACGATATGATATTATATTTGTTAATCGACTAGCTGATACAGTGGAAGTGGGATGATCAACCGTTAACATTGTTCGAATTTGTGGTTGAGTTAACCCATTCTGAGCATACTTGACAACAGAAGTTCACACTGATGATGGTAATCTTGTTGATTCTCTTCGTTGAGTATGATCATCAGGAGAGCTTGACATTAAAATATCAGTACTCGAATCTGTGCTTGAGGTAGTATATTGACCTGATATTTGTATAGTGGATAAATTTTACAATTTCTACACTGATGATAATATTTCATAGAATTTTTAGGACAATTTGTTCGAAATTGTAAGACTTTTAACGATTTTAATGAATCGTTTATTTCAGCGAGAGAAGTAACGATCAAAATGGTTTTCCTGTTTTTATCTGACATTTTCGAGAATGACAAGCCCCTACATGTATAATGTATCTAACAGAGAAAAATATTATAACAGAAATCAAGATTAAAATCACCTTTTTGCATGTTGAAATGGTGCAAAAGGTGATTCTAATCTTGATTTCTGTTATAAAATTTTCACCTTAAACAGAGAAAAATATTGTAAATGACTGTGCATACATATACTACTGTCATACTGGAAATTTTTCGAATCTTTGACGTCTACCTTAACGTCTGCATTGGGCGTTGACGGAAATATTAAATATGTACTATGCATAGGTTTATAACAGTAAAAAAACATTTATTCGATTTTCTTTTTCTGTGGTCTGTTGATTAATTAAGCTAATAAATGAAAAGTTAGTGCTCAATAAATTTATTTATAAATTCTCTTTTACTGCACCTCGAAAATAGTGCTCGATTTAGCGCCAGGCTTTCACTTTTGCAAATTTAGTGCTCGTTTGTCTACTAGTGTGTTCTCCAAAAACTATTCTTCTTTTAACTTATCTAAGGTTGCAGAAGAGCCATTCTTTGCGATCAAGAGTGATAAAACATTGGGAATTATCTTGACTTGTGAGGAAATGGTTTTTTCTACCATATGTAGTAAATGTACCAAACAGCCAAATGTGTCACAAGAGATTCAGTTACTTTTTCTTAAAAACACCACGTAGCCGTTTTGATGTTAGAAAATTCATAGTTTACAATGTATGAGCGTTATCTTTTTGTATATTACGTCTATAAAATATTATACTAATTCAAAAAACAAGTTTTTTAATCAATATAGTAAAAAAAATGCAATATCAATATGCTGCAAAAAAATGGTCTTTAGACTAATTTATTCGTATTCGACGTTGTTTTGAAAGAATTTGATTTAGGGATGGTAGTGGAAATAGTAGTAGTAGTAGTTGTTGTTTTAGACCGTTTAAAAAATTCTTAATTTTTTCATCTGCACCGTCTAATTCCAATGACAAACCACATTTACCTACATTACAGCCTTGTTCACCATACAAACGTAAACTACATGACCACATCAGTTTTGGAGTATTGTTGATGGAACTGTCGTTTGCTAACTTTGAACGTTGTACACGTTCTAATGCTTGATCCTGTGTTAAATTTTCATTTGGTCGACCAACATCAACAATAAAACCATTATGGTAATGACAACTATCGTTGCGTACATCCGATGGTATATAATTTTCACGACATCTTGGGCATTTTCTAGATTTTTAATTATTCAAACGTTTTTCTTCGTCTAGTTTATCCTGTTTTAACTGTGTCGTTGTTTTCTTAAATTTAATTAATATCATCAATTAACATACTTTTTAACAATCGATCTTTAACAATCATTACAATCCATTTTTTGTTGGATTTTACATTGTCCTAGAATATTCAAATATCGATTAGAAAGGTGAGAGTGCTGCTGAGCGTCCCACACGTATCCTACGATGATCTTTAGAAATTCTTTATGGCAAACTAAAAATCTCGAAGGTTCCTTTCCAACTACGGAGTTTTTGATAGAAGAAAACATTAAGTGAGATTTTGCGGGAGCATGATTTGACTTTTAAGCAGCCAAATGACGATAAACTCCATATCATTTCAAAAGACTGATAATCTAATGTGAAACACAGATTTTTTATAGGTTATCGACTGTGCTGATTCCGATGACAACAATGGGAGCTGTCCATAGATCTTTCGAGGCCGGTTTTCTGAAAACGGGTGGTTCAGATAGGAAGATAGGATTTTTGAATCATCCACTTCATTGTGCACTGAAAACTGAGTATATTCTGAAGGCTCAGCCCTCTAAGACAACGGTAGTCGGGGTTACTGCATCTTCACGTTTAGTTCTAACAAGAAAATGTCCTCTAAACACTTTCAGGTGCAATAAATTGACCTGACTTCGTGCTACGAGACGACTATAAAAGTACATGTTTCACGTGACAAGCGGTGCGGCAGTTCGTAATACTCCCTCATAAGATAACTGACTTCAAAAAAAACCTTAAGGTAATATATTTTATAATTTTCTAAAGTCAGATAGGCTCGATCAACAGATCATTCGAAAAAACGTTTGAAACTATATGAAATGGCTTATTTATATTTTTTCTCAATTCTTCCATTTAGAGAGGGCCAACAACTGCGTCAACCGATGTTTGGGTGACCGACATTTGAGCCACCAACATTTGAGCGACCCCGACATTAGACACTTTACAATATGACTTATTTTCCGATCAGGAAAATGGAATTATTGTTTAATTCGATAACGGTTAATAACGATGATGATAACAATTTCTTTGTCTTCCGATTATGAACTGAACTATTTGGATGTCTGTAGAGGGCGGCGGGGGTGGATGAGAGTGAGTAGCTAGTTGTACGTGATGCGCTTAGCTCAGTTGTTGGGGTCGCTCAAACGTCCGTTAATCCAACAATTGGCTTGTACAAAATTGTCCTTATTCCTTTTGTGCCTTTTAAAAACCTAGAAAATTTTGAATAAGCTCCATTGTTAGTTTTCTCTAAATGGAAGGATTGAGAAAAATAGAAATATGCCATTTCATTCACTTTTGATGCTTTTTTGAAGGAAATGTTGCTTGAACTTATTATTATTAATGAGAGCAGTTGCGGCAGAAGTAGAAAAGATGAAGACTTTAGTTATGGCTCATCTTGTAGAAAAATGTTTACCTTGCAAAACCAAGTTATTAGAAAAATTTTGACCCTTCTTTAACAACCGCTGCCTTATATTTTTCTCTAATAAAGCGATAGTCTAATATTTGATATTGATTTTGACGTTGACATTTGTGAATCGCTAACGCTTAACATAATCAATGAATCAATATCAAATATAATAACTGATAATCAAATATAACATTCCAAGAAAGTTGTGGTTAGTAATTCAAATATTTGATTTTCATCAAATGCATTGTTCTGTGTAAGAAAATTTAAAACAATAACTTGTATTGTATCAATATTACGAGATGAACAACCGTATATGAAACGTGTTAATAATGATGAAACAACTGTTGTTTCACTTTCATTTAAATTATTTTCTAATTCAATTAAACACTGGTGATCTTCATAATCGATTAATATACGTCCAGTTGGTAATAATTTTGTTAGAACATACATTAAAGACGTTCGGTCAAAATAAGTGACGCAGACATTAAGCTTAGCTAGACTGAAGCCTGTAGTACACTCAGTCTAACTTGGAAATGAGTTCGTAAAGAGCCCTTTCACCATGTAGCTGAAAGACAGCATACCTTAAGGACAGATTTTTCACAAATCGATCAAGTATCACGGTCGTCAAAGTCCAAAGTACCCTACACTTTTTTTGGATTCTATTCATTCCCAGACATAAAACTGTGATAACGAAATCTTTTTTCCCCCAGCGTTCGAAAAGCTGTAAAAAAGTGCCATATTTATGCTAAGTTAGAACCGATTTTTCCGACAATGTCTAAGTTGAAAGCTCTTTAAAAGCTGAACAAAACCCACAATTTGAAATTTTATGACCTTTCTATTGAATTTTCTTGAAATTTTCAGGTATTTGAAATCAAATCAGATTCATTTGAAAGTCAATTTTGGTACACAAAATATTTACTAAAGAAATAGAACTTTCAGTTATCCACAAAAGTAGAATAGAAATTTGAAAAAATAATTTCACAGCATAAAAATTATAACAATTGTAGCCAGCAGTCGAAAAATAACCAAAGTCGGCCTTTGGTATTTCAAATTTCCACAACAGACACGGATGTTCCAATCAAAAAAGAGGTGATGATCAGCATTAGCAATGAAAACTAAATCAACTATTATATATTTTAGTAAGTTTTTATACAAAAGAATACAATCCGCTGACTCTTAACCGACCGCTCAGGACTGATTAGCAAGTTGTATGGTTTTCGTTGTGGTATCGGTCGAGAGTAATGCTCGTTTCTAACGTGACAGTTTTTCAGTGTTGAACACACCCTGCATATATACAAAAGTTAGCGCTCCTCTACACTCGTTCCGTCCTTCGATTTTAGGAACGTAGATCTGCCGAAGACCTTCGTTGACTCTGAATCAAAGACAAGGCTCACATCTCCCTTCGGTCGGCGTTCGCTGGAGAGTATACACATTATGTGTGTATCTACGCCCAGTACATCAGTATCTTTGTGTATGTACGTCCATTACACTAAGTTCAAATGGCTGAGTGTACGTCAGTCACACAGCATTTAAATGTCTGTGCCTCCGTCACACTAATATTTTTCGGCGCTACGCAATGCCAAATATCACTTTGCTTATCTAGTGGTCACTCTGCTTGTATATTGCATAATAATGAGTAAATAGCAGGTGTTCGGATGGCACTCTGATAAGTATTTAACGGTTGTAAGACTCTCACCCCGGTCGACAGAACAAGGTAACGCTACTCTGCACTCGCTGGGCCAATATATAAACCCAGGGCCAAATCAAGAGTAAATCTTCTCTTTATCTTGTTTCACATTATATCTACCGCGTGCATCGTCTCATACGGATAGAGTTTTTTAATGCTTATGACATTTGATAATATATGATGTCCACAGAAAAGTAATTAGTGAGAATCATAGAAGATTATTCGATGATACCCTAATTTATTGAAGAAAATGTGCAGCAGCCATTTGAAGTGTTTAAAAATCTCTAGCGAGTTGCGATGTAAAAATCTAGAGCTCTCCCAAGGTAAATAAGTAAAGATGGAGAATACTAGCTCAAAGTGAAAGTGGATTCAGAATTACCAAAAGAATGCATGCATTCCAAAACTATATTCTACCTCATAGGTTGACGTGTCCACGCACAATAATGTTGTAAAATTCGTCCAATATAGGGAAGAGTTGTAGTTTGTACTTAAAACCTTTCTGTCCTATTTTTATCTCAAAACGCCATATATGCTCCTCGTTTACCCCTACTTTGCCAGACTTATAGATTATCCGAAAATGTATAAAAAAGACTTTCTTTTTGTTATTTTTTGCTTACCCTCTCCGTTTACATCTTCTTAGTAACATGATAGAACCTCAGATTTATGCGCTAATTTCATCTACCCATCAGGCCTAGACAGAAACGTAAATGTTTGTTTCTATTACTGTATACAACCCAACCTAGAATAATTTAGCAACACTGGAGAACTTTCACTATTTGAGCGTTAGGTGCTGTCTAGAAGAGGTTACCTACTTTCAGCTCAGTGCACTCTAACGACCAGTACCTTGTTCGCTTTTAAAACCAATTCTTACTTCAGAAAAAGATGAGTTGCAAAAATTGTTTTCTACTCGGTGAGCGTATAACTGAGATTGCATCACTACAAAATGGTTAGCAAAGCTGAATCGGGGTACATTTTCTTATTCTATCAATGAAAAATAAAAAGGTCAGAATTCTTACTTTATGTTATCCAATCGTTGATTTAATATTAAAATATTTTCTTTATATTTATCCATTTCAAGTTGTAAACGATATAAATTCGCCTCCTTTTCCTTTAATACATTTTCTAATTGTTTAATAATCGTTTCAAATTGCTCCTGTTGATTTCTTAAATCATTTTGTCTAACTGTTAATTGAAGTTGCTCATCATTTAAACGTTCAATTTCATTATTTATTCGTTTGATTTCATTCTCTTTGTCTATTATTTCCAATTTTAATGCTTCAACCTATCGTTCAAGTTCAGTTAAGCTCTTTCCAGTTAGGCTCTTTCCATTTTTAATCTGTCTTCGTTTTTCTTCAATTCTTCACGCTGTCGTCTCATTAATTCTTGAAGATCTCGTAACGATAATTCATAATAATTTCGCTCACTTATTACTTGATTTTCTTTATATTTAATATCATCTAATTATTTTTGTTTTTCATCATTTTGTTTCAATTCACTTTCATAATTAATTTAATTCCAATTCTGATAATTCTGTTTCTGTTGTATCAACTACTCTATTTAATTCATTATATTTAAAAGTAAGTTTATTACGTTCAGTTTCTAATAGTTTTAACTGTTCAATTTCATTTTCAATTTATACTATAAAGGGATTATTTTCATTTAGAGTATTGACGTCTTGTGTTAATTTATCTCGTTCTCTTTGTATATTTTTCTTTTCTTCATAGATTTTTGAATGTTGTGTAGTGCAGTGAGTGTTTACTTTTTCTTTCTCTTCTTCAATTATTTTTAATTCATTTAGTGTATCAGCTGATAAATGTTGTCTTATGTCGTCTTGTAAATCGGCTGTTGTTGTAACAGAAGCAGATGCCATGTTGAAGCTGTCTTACAAGTTGATGATCTATAAAGAAAGTAGATACAAATACAAGTTCAACGTATACAAGCTAGAAGACCAAAAAAGAAAACAGTCAAATAATCTAATTCGCAACCGATGTTCTACTTCTAGATTTCTAATTCCGATGCTTATAGCATATTAAGCACGTATATAAGGACCTGTTAGTCTGTTTGAATTTCTGATGCCATTTTATGTGATGAGTCTACATTTTTGTGTATAGAGACAAGTTGAATACCTGTTGAATAACTGTTCTGTCTTCTAATCTGTGAAAAAAAATTTGACAAATATGAAGTAAATGCCAATATGTCAGATATATTTGTATCTCTATTCAAATGCTAGAAGCCTCATATTAACTATCTTTTCTTCTTTCTTTCTTGTTTTCTTTTCATCACGCCTAGTTATTAGAGCGTTGTACTGGGTTTTCTCTGAGTTATTTTGTTTTTTCTTTCTACACTTATCTTCTAATATTGGAAAAAATACAATGATTATACAAAAAAGAAAAAGAAGCAAAATGCATGAAAAGTATATAGCACTAGTAACGCATGATTTGTTCATATTTTTTAGGGTTTTGCTATTATTTAGTGTTTTTTCTATTTTCTATTCTTTTTGCTTTCTTAAATACACTATTTGTTGTCAAGTGTATGTGTTACTATACTAAAATGTTTTAGATGAATAATGATTTGTAAAGCAGATAAGAGACGTGAAGGATACGTTTATCAGAACCTATGAATGGTAAAGACAGAATAGGTCATGGTGCACTTATCGCATAATAGGTTCGAGTCATGGTATAAGGAAAATCTATAACACTTCGTATGTCAGTAGTTATCCAATATATTTCAGTTTTGATAGGATTTTCATAAGCTGTGAAATTATTCAGGGCGATTGCACTTAAGTGAACCATGATCTAATTCGAAGAGATAGTGCTCAATCATAAAGCTTTTCTATATCTGCAGTTTCGAAATTTTTGTTTGAAATTTTTCTAACAACAGGTCTAACTAGACTTCTGTGGTTCTGTAGCAGAAAGGAAAAGAAAATTAACTAGGGGGAGAGATGTGCTTTTCTTCTTTGAAGTATATCTTACTGCTTTTTTGAAGTCATGAGCTCTAAAAAAAGTTAAAAGATCAAGACTGCTTCCAGATAGCTGTCATTTACATAAGGTATGCCATAGATGTTTTTCTGTGATCAAAATTAAGTGGCGTGTAGTTTGTAAAGAGCTTTAGAAAAACAATGTAAAATTGAGCATAAATGTCATTGATGAGCCGAATCACAGAAATAGAAAAACTTTTTTTATAGCGAAGGTTCTACTTCTCTTGCTTCTTGACCGTAAGTCAAAGTCGTGCAACAACCGAAATACCGATGTGTCCGCACTCGCAGGTTTTAGAATTTCAATCGGAACATCGTGCTTGACATTTGAAGCATAGCTGAATGTATATATTCCCGAAAACAAAACGAGTACTGACTAATCTTTTAAACGGAACTAACTGTCGTGTGACTAAGTGAAAATAAAGAATAGAAATAGTAAAGAAAGAAGGCTCGAAAGGGTCTGAGAACGAGATTTGACTAGACCTCTATCGACTAGACCTCTATCTTCTAGAGCCGCGTGAAGGATCCTAACAAGCACACTTCGCTTGGACGAATTTAGCTAGTGCAGAGAAACGAGTCATCTATGCAGTATGCACTTACATACTATGCTTGGACGAATTTTTGGGGACTCATTTTTGTCGACGCTTGTTTTACTTGTGGTACTTTTCGTGGGCGTTTTCTAGGGGGTGCTTTTTTGGACGCTTCTATTTACCATGTATCTTCTGATTTCTTTCCTTCACACGTAGATCGATAGAGGGTATCGAGCTAGTAAAAAACCCAAAAGGATTTTTCCCCCATGAGTCTTACCGGCCCGATTTTTCTGAAAACCACTTTTTCAGAAACTCTAAAAGTAAACAAAACCTTTCTTAATAAGCCATGATTGCTGCCCGAAAAGTTCTGATTAAAATGAGACATCTCTCAGTTCTACACGACCTTTCTTTGCAAAGTTATAGAATGCACAAGAAAAGCCCTAAAATAATTTCTTCTTATTTCTCTAAAATTAAGTATTAAAATACTTTCTAGGATACAAATTTGATGTTAAGAAAACATCGTGAAATTTGAATATTACAATGAGCAAATGATGGTCAGGTTCGATTCAAAATCGAATAATTGAGGAAGAGCGTTTCTTGACTACAGAATGTAGGTGATGCGGCCAAGAAGAATTATTGTAAAAAAGAATCTAGCGGTTTTCTTGTCGTTTCGTGAGCTTGCTCTAAGATCTGTTAAGCCTATTGTGTTGACTTTGCTTGTGTAAATGAGTTCAAACTCTGTGTCTAATCGCAACATTGGGGAACCGCTATTTGCGACCAAGAAGAGGATAGTATTATAAAATCAAAAAACAGTTAACAAACAGTTAAACAGTTAAGTCAAACTTATAGACCAGCATATGATCTAACTACTAGGACATAGCACTAACAACCTGAAACAGTATTTATGCACAGACCTATCCAGATACGTTGTGCCTGTTTGTTACAAGGAGAGAAAGATGACGCAATAATACAGATATGTATATATTCGAAGAAAGAAAGATAATCGTCTTTTCGTGTTTCTACAATCGGTGATGAAGGACATAATATAAAGTCCGAGCACTCTATTTCGACCATCACTCAGACCATTTGGGGAGGACTTCTGGGGACGACCTTTTAATACGGGAGGGCCTTCTACTGCAGAGGGAGGCTTACTTATGAATAGCTGAGCTATATGGCAGTGATCTTGTCATTATTGGTTTTAAGTTGAAACGGCAGATCCAACAAGCAAACGATGACCATATGCAACTTTTATTGGTGTAGTAAGTACTAACCGAGTAGATCTCTTAACAGGTAATGTCCCAACATGAAAACGCTATTTTCCAGGAAACCGTATCGTCTATCGTCCAGATTCTAACAGACTATAAACTCTTCGAATGCTTGTATCTCTTACGGATGTACTCTTACTGATTCCTATTTCTGCTCACCATGTTTTAGACGCTGAATTTTCCATCGAGTGGACTCTAGAAAACCGTCCAGAACTCAGAAAGTCAAAGCTCTAAAAGGCACAAAATTTGAACTTATAGGTTTTCACACATACCGAACAAGATAGGACTAGTTAGAAGCAAACCTGAGACATCCATTGAGCATGACTTGTTGTTTCTCTAGTGCAAGGAATTTTACGAATTACGTAGAAGCGAAAAGCTTGTCAGGCTGTCTGTCTAATGTGGAAATACACTACGATACACAATTACCTTGTATTGGTATCCGACAACCGACTGAATCCTCGAATCACCGACAAATATCCTCGCAAGTGCAGAAATATATAATGCTGGCATGCTAAAATGTAATCGTGATCTTCTTTAAATTACGAATAGTAATTTTTATTTTTTATAAACTTCATCCACATCATTAGTTCTTTTTATTTCTTTTTAATTGTCTATTCATTTCGTATTTGTTATCTGATTCGAGAT